TAGGCTCAGCTCTTCGTCCCAAATAGTTGGATCATCCAGGAAATCTGATGAGGGTGGCCTAGGTAGGCCTCTTAGGATCTCCAAAGATTGAGGGTTTAAGTTTTCTTTTGAACTTGAATATTCTATCTCTTGGTCTTCTCCTATCAATTTCTTCTGACATACTTCACATCTACTTGATCGTTTACTTCTTCAAAATTTGGAGTTTCTTCTTGATTTGTTGTCTCGAACCTAAGGCATTTCCCATTTCTATGGTCTTGGGGATACCTCGCCCTGGAATCTTGGTTGGGCTCATTGATGGCTTGGACATCTTGCAGGTCTTCTTTTGCACTTATTTGGAATATAGGATTGACTCGGCCCTCTACCTTTGTGGTGACATACATCACAGGAATGTCTTGGATCTTCTGTGGGCCTATATCTTCAATTGGAATCGTGATTATCTGCGAATTTTTCTCCTTTTTGTGAGTTTCAGAACCATGGGTAGGGCTATTCCGATCATGGTAAATTTGTAGGTTGGACACTTGATTCGGTCTTGATGAGGGTGCTTCATCTCTGATGTGGTCAATAAATTTAAAACTTTTCAAAATCTATAAAAAGGTAAAAATGCTTGGGAAAATGTAAATGTGTGATTTATGTGAAATCAAGCATTTTATTTTAGTACTTATATATAATCCCTGGATACCTAGCCTGATAAAGAGCAACGGAGTTTGTTGTTTCTATTCTCCAACAGTCTGATACAATTATCATTTAAACTAAAATAATCCATCCTATTTCATTTATTAAATTAAATAAATGAAATTAAAACCCAAAATGCCAAATGGTCTTGACATAACATCCAAGATCAAAAGTACTTCAGAGTCATATGTACATATTACATTATATCCAAGCTCCAAAGACCAAAAGTTTATGACATAAGATGAAAATTTAATCAATGCACTGCACTCAAATGTCTCAAGTTTCTCAATTCTCAACTCTCAATCAGACAAGTCATATGCTGATCCCTTATGTGCATGTGCATTCGCATTCCCCACAGCTGAAGTTGAGGTTTTAGAGGCATCATCACTATCATTTGCTTATTCCACATATACTTCTTCCTAGTGTTAGGGCTTACTTCTCCAGCCTTCCAGCCGCCCTACAGCTTTCTAGACATCCAACCAAGTAAGGTCCTCAACCTTGAGCACCCATTGTAATTGTAGATTTATTGTCCACACACTTGTGCCCTCGGCATCGGCTTCATCCAATACAATTGGGTCGACATCCATGCTTTTCAAGTACTTCTCCTTAAGGTGCTCATACTTCCACAAAGGCGAAACTATTCAACTTTTTCTGCTCTAGCCTATTCCTTTTTTCTTGGTGTGGAGTTGTGATAGTAAGCAAGGAAACAAACAAAGGATAAAAAACATTAATTAACCTAACCAATGCCTGATAGATTTCTATTTGTCTGCAATCTAGATTCTAGAAAGTCAAAATCAAGCAAATAAAGAGTTACATGCTCAAATGAGCTCCAATTGTGCTGCAACCAGATGAAATCGATGTGAGGCTCAACACTCGAATGGCGAGATGTTGAATATTTGGTATCTTGTTCCCATATTTCCATCACTCAGCTGTGGATATTTGTTTATTACAACTATACAAGTAGAACAAAGTAAAGAAGAAACACTACAGTTAACACTTTCTGAGTAAAAATTCAAACTTCAAGTTCAAAGTTCGCATGGTTTTGGTTACCTTGTTGTCTAATAACACTGTTCCGCATGAGCGGCTAATTATGTTGGATCTCATCTTGTATAGCCAGGTCAAGGTCCAACCTTCCAAGTACATCTAAACCCTCCTCTTCTCCTTTCCATTTGATTCAATGGATAGGTTCTTATAGCGAAGAGATGGATTAAAGGAGTAAACAGCTGCATGTAGGGGCTGGTAAAGTTGGATATGTCATTTCCTATCGCAAAATCTCAAGTATAGGCTTGTATGTGGGCTTCATCATTGTTGAATACCATTTTGATCTATTCTTATGCCGCAATCATCACCTCATGTATCCGATGGCAGGCTTTGGATCACCATCATCCGATATAAGTGCTTCAACAAAAGGGTGAGAAACATAGGACAAATAGTAGGTTTGGCCACAAAAGATGCTTAAGCACAATTTGCTACGATTTTTTCTTATCTTGATGCCTTGACCACTTCTAGTCCACTTTTTTGAAGTGAACATGTTCCTTAGGACGCCTTTCATGCATATGCTTTGTAGAGTGAGAAATGTCAAGGCAGATTTAGTGGCTCTTGCTCTCTTACTCTCTCTCTTCTTTGTAAGCTCCCTCATCATGCTTAGGTCTAGGGATGAAACCAATGATAGACTTAGGTTTTTGTAAATGCTATTTAACCTTGGATGTCTACACTATGTCCTCAAGCATTAGATCAAAGACAATGAGCTGTGCTAGGAGTCCTAAGTACATGCCTTCTCTTTAAAGTCAAGAGATGCCCAGATGCTGAATAAGCGGTACGATCGTCATTAATTTGTACAACATGCTCTTACCTAATGACCTTTAAAATCTCATCAGTTGCATAATATGAGTTGTTTGATGCATCAATAGACTTCCTAAGATAAGTCCCTAAGGGACCATTGACCAAAAAATTAATAAACGTTTGAGATGTTCCATAAGATAATCCATGTGACATGATGGTCATCCTATTCTTCTCCATCTCTCTCTTTGAGAGCTTAACTTTTTTTTCACATCTTTCATTGCATCCTTCGAAAGGGCCTTCTAAGCTCATGAAACGAATGGAGTTTGAGCCTTGGCCAAAATTGCCCATTTGCCTCGATCTTTAACTTGAAGCTATTGGGGGCACACTTATTGAAAGGAGTACGAGCTTGGAAAGTCCACTTAGCAATGTATTATAAACGTTATTCTTCTCTATTCTCTTGTATTGATTTTCAAGCATGGTCATGGGTCAGCATTGAGCCCATACCTCTTTGTTTTAATTATAGAAAACCTAATTGGGCACCTACAAGATGAGATACTGTAGTGTATGTTGTTCGCAAACGACATAGTTTTGATCGATTAGACCTGAAATGGTGTCAACGCAAAGTTAGAACTTTGGAGGTATATTTTAGAATCTAAAGGTTTTAAAATTAGCCGGACTAAGATAAAGTATATGGAATGCAAGTTTGGTAATAATAAGAGTATAGAGAAGGAAGTAGTTAAGATTGACGGCCAAGAGATACCAAAAAGAGTGCATTTTCGATATCTTGGGTCGATAATCTAGAAAAGTGGGAGAGATTGAGGAAGATATTACACATAGAATTAGAGCTGGGTGGGTGAAGTGGAGATGCCCAACTGAAGTTTATGTGATTGCCGCATAACAATGAATCTAAAGGGTAAGTTCTATTGGACAACTGTGAGACCAACTTTGCTTTATAGGGCGGAATGCTGGGCAGTCAAGAAACAACATTACCACAGAATGAGTATAGCTGAGATGATAGTTTTGAGATGGATGAGTGGCAAGACAAGAAGGGATTGAATTCAAAATGAATTCATTAGGCAAAATTTAGGTGTGAAACCAATAGGCGATAAGATGAGAGAAAATAGACTTAGGTGGGTTGCCCATGTGCAGCACAGACCCAGTACAACACTTTTTAGGAGATGTGAGTTAGTTCAAATTTGAAGGCTAAAAAAAGGCAAGGGGTAGGCTCAAAAGGGCATGGTTGGAAGCAGTGAGAAAATATGAGGGCTTATGGCCTCATTGAATGTATAACCTTAATAGAGCAGAATAACGGATCGGGATTTGTGTAGCTGACCCCATTAGTTGGGAAAATACTTTGATGATGATGATTTTCAAGCATGGTTGTTTTTTTTATTTCCTTCCCTAGCATCTACGACTACCTTGGGGTTGGGTTGCAAAACATATCTATTAGCACCTTAGTGAGAGATTTATTTTACCCAACATTAGCACCAATCCCTTATAAACCGTACACCTACTTCCAACTTCAAAAGCTCTTCTTCAGCAAATGTTTGATTTTCATCGAACAATTCTTTTTGTTTCTTTTGCTTTGTTTTCTTCTATTTTCTTTGGCTATCTTTACACTTGCCCTAATCTCTTTTATAATCTCATTGGTTGATTGAGAGCAGGCTCTAACATTCCTTAGTTTGTTGAATTTCTAATATTTCCATATCATTTTCTTGTTACTTGAAAGAAAGTTACTAGGAAATGGACACTTACCAAAAGTGTTTTTTTTTTTAAAAAAATTGAATTTCTACATGGCCCTTGAAACCCTCAATTACTTGGTGAATCCTCGTCCAAAAACCTCAAAAACAATCTCTCTAGTGATTGTCTAAGCATCCCCCAGATTTTTTTTGCCCTTTTTTTTTTGTTTTTGAAAATTTTGGCTTCAATGAAAAAAATCTCGATGTCAAACTTTCTTGTTTTTAATTACTCAAAACCATCTAAAAAATGATTTCAAGGGTATTTTGGGGGCCCCACAAGCAATACCCTTTTCCCTCCTTTTCATGGGGTAAAATAACACAAAATGTTCCTCCTTGTGGGCATTTTCCTCCGACGAGCAGTGAACTGCATATTTGGGTGCATCCTGCGCTATGCAATGCATCTGCATATGCAGGTGATGTGCTGCCACGAGCAGTGAACTGCATATTTGGGTTCATCGTGCCCTATGCAATGCGCACACATATGTAGGTGATGCGCTGCATATGCTGACACATCACCAAATCCCGCGTATGCGGGTGTAACGATGTGCTCTAGGCCACATAATGCATTATGCCACTACATAATCTGTTATGCGTCTGCATTTGGTGACACTGTTCAGTACAATCATAGATCCATGTTTCTTGTTTTGAAAGATCTCCCTCCCTCCCTCCCTCCCCCCCTCCCTCCCTCTCTCCCTCCCTCATAGCTTTATAGCATATGAACAAGAAGATTCCAGGTTTTATTGCTTTTACGATTAGGCTTTGAAAATTTCTGTGTTGATTCTTTGTTGGTCTTAAATTTCATTGCAGATGTCCAGACTGCTGTCGCTGCAAAAGAAAATCTAGAAGGCCACTGCATATACGAGGGAGGTTTTTGCAAGCTTCATCTGGCCTATTCTCGGCACACGGACCTCAATGTCAAGGTAACCTCCTTCTGGAAATGAAGACAAAAACTGGCCTTTTCTTTCTCTACTTTTTCTCGTTGCTTGGAAATGAAAACAAAAACTGGCCTTTCTTTTTCTACTTTTTCTCGTTGCTTGTAAAGGAGACAATTTACTTTCAGGTAAACAATGATCGTAGTCGGGATTACACAACCCCAGATTCTGTGATGCTGCAAAACCAACCTTCAATTCTTGGGCAGCAGCCACACCCAATGCTTGCCCCTACCCCTTCTCAGATCTCTGCAGGCCCCTTCTCGCCAGTTGTTGCTCATGGTATCATGGGTCCTCGCCCTGTGGGGGGTTGGGAAGGCTGTAATGCAGGTGTATTGGCTACTTTGCCTGATCAAGTGTTGCCCAATCAAGTGGGATCCTTGCCCCCTCAAGTGCAAGTGATACCAAATCAAGTGGCGTCTTTGCCCTCTCAGGTGCAATTGATGTCTAATCAGGTGGCTTCTTTGCCTGGTCAAGTTCAAATGTTGCCCAATCAAGTGGCTCCATTGCCTGGTCAGGTTCAACTTCTGTCTAATCAATTGTTTGGGTTGCCTGGTCAAGTTTCAAATCAAGTGTTTGGGATGCCAGGTCAAGTGCAAGTGCCCCCACCTCAAGGGTACGGGGCAATGGCTCCTAATAATGGGGCAGGTGCATTTCCATTACATGAGCAGGGGAACCAGCTGCCTATGACTGCCATGTCGCCTTTCGGAAAATAACCAGGTCACTGATTTTGCATTGTATTTTACTTTTTCTTTAATTTGCCACCCTGTTTGCATTTTTTTTTGTTGAGAGAGAATTGTATCATTGGTAGGTCATTCTCCCCCGTTGCTTTGTTTTCCTAAGGAGTTCCAACATGTAAGTTCTTTGAAGATACAATCCAGGGTTTGTATTTGAATATGTCAGTTGAGGCACTTTATAGGCCGTGGCTAACACATGAAGGTTTGTTGTTTGATAGTCTAACATGTTTCGTGGGTAGAGAGACAAATATGGGCAAATTGTACTGAACTTTGGGGCATTTCTTTCATGGAGTTCTAATATAAATTTGCTTCCCACATTAGATTAACTCTATCCGAAGTTCTTGGTTTATTTCTTTTAATTTTTCCATCACAGAATCAGTTATGCGCTCACGTATCGACTCAACTCTGTAGCTTTCACCAACGTTGAGAATCGACTCAACTCTGCAGCTTTAACGACTTTGAGATCGTGATGGCACTCAAAAAATCTTTATGGGGTTCTCCTAGCCCCTTGGGTTAAATTCTCATGATTCCAACTAGCTAAGGATGATAGTTTTGAGATGGGTACTGGTTTTTATTAATGAATCTCAAAGACATGCAAATTACATAGGTAAGGAATCAGAAATTACAAATTCACTAGAAGATAACTCTTTAGCCAACCGGTCATGCTGAAACGCAACTTCCATACCATTAGTAGTATCCAAGACATCTAGCCATTTACCTCTTGTTGACCATGGAGGTTTCCTCATGTTATACCAATTTATAATTTATAACATTCAAGGAATCACCTTCCATGAAACTACTTATATATTTCTCCTTCACCAATTTCAGTTCGAGCACAAATATCCACCATGCTGTGACATTACCACATGGCCCATAATAGCAGAACGTAATTGTCCCACAGCGATCGTTCCCCACACCCCAGATACTTGCCGGGCCATGATTGCTTATTGAGCTCCCATTCAAGTTTAATTTAACACTACCCAACAGTGGTGGATTCCATCCATCTAGCTCTTGTTCTCTATTCTCACAGAAATTGAAGACTGCCCAAAAATGTTTTTCAAATTCAATGATAATATCAACCCTAGAAATACCCTCCCCCTCCTTCGTGACTTAAAACCAAGGCTACAAGCTATGCAAAACTCTGTCCTTCACTTTATCTTCCCGAAACAACTTCCTTCGGTTTTGTGCTTCTTTCATGGGGATTGCATTGCAGGTGTAGGAACGAGTCCCGAGACAACTTCCTTGGGTTTAAAATGCACTTGTTCCATGGGGATTGCATTGCATGTGTAGGAATGAGTACCCCCTTCAGAAAATAGGGTTTTGCACTTGTTCCATGGGGATGACATTGCGTGTGTAAGAATGGGTACGCCCTTTAGAAAAGCGGAGATCGCCTTTTAGAGTTGTCAAATAGCCGTACAAAATCGTTAGTTAAGATAAGTGTTTAAAAAAACGTCGAGTCGAATCGGACTCGTTCGGTTTGATTCGAGAATCGACCATGACGGTTCGAACTGCTAAAAAAATCGGGAATCGTCCGGTTCTAGAGAGAACAAGACGATTTTACACAGTGACTCGCCGATTCACTGTACGGAATCGGCGAGTCCCGTGAAGAATACGGGCTGCACAGTGTTCTTCACGGGATTCTTCGAAATTTATCATTTTTTGATCATTTTTCTTGTTTTTTTTTGGCATGTGATCTAATTTGTAGGCTTTAAACAACTTTATTCAGCTTTTACACGGATTAAATGGTTGAGAAATTTTGTGTTTTTGGATCACGAAACCTGCATTTTTAGAGTTTCCGCCTTTCTTTGTGTTTCATGCTAAATAGGGCATGAATCTGTCAAAATTTGTAGGCATTTTGATCGTAAAGTTGTTCATCAAAACCTTCTGTTATGAATTTGTGATAATCGTTGAGAAAAACAGAGTTATTTGGAGATTAAAGGATCCGGTTCACAAAACCAGGTAAGAAGTTTGGGTTTTTCTTTTTTTCCGGCATATGATTAATTTCACTGCATATTTTGAAGATAATGAGTTCAATTTGTAGGGTTTTTAATCTTTATTGTATCTATTATGATTTAACATATTCAATTTTATGTAATTTGGTCAATTACAGCATGAATTTTTAGATGAACACAGAGATGTCTGTGGAAACAAATTTCTGCTGTTTTTTTTTTTTTTCCTCCTTTTGATTTTTTGTTCATGATATATTATAAATAATGTGTTAGATTTCTAGCATTTTTAATCGTTATAGTGTTGATTATAATTAGATGTATTCAATTTGATCTGATTTATTCAATTTGAGCTTCATTTTTTAGATTCAATGACTGTTTGTGAAGAAGAGAACTGCGTTTTTTTTTTTGCTCAATTAAATCGATTTGATTTGATTTATTGATGATAATGTGTTCAAAATTTCGGGTATTGATTCCTTATATTGTTGTTTATCAGAAAATATACTAAATTGGATGTAATTTATTCGCTTAGAGGTGGGTTTTTTAGTTAAAATGGCTTATGTAAGATGGCCCTGTGAAGAACGGAATTTGTTTTTTTTTTTTTGTAATCCATGATCGAATTTTTTGTAATACTTGATCTATTTTTTTGTAATCCATGATCGAATGCTTTTTTTTTTTTCTTTTTTTTTTTTTTTAGTTAATCCATGATCGTAATTTTTTTTTTTTGTAACGCATGATAGAATTTTTTGTAATCCACGATCGAATTTTTTATAATCCATGATCGAAATGCTTTTTTTTTTTTTATAATTTATGATCGAATTTTTTTGTTTTTTTTTTGTGTAACCCATGATAGAATTTTTTGTAATCCATGATTGAATTTTTTGTAATCCATGATTGAAATGTTTGTTTTTTTTTTGTAATCCATGATCGAAATGTTTGTTTGTTTTTTGTAATCCATGATCGAATTTTTTGTTTTTGTTTTTTTGTAACCCATGATAGAGTTTTTTGTAATCCATGATTGAATTTTTGTAATCCATGATCGAATTGTTTTTTCTTTTTTGTAATCCACGATCGAATTTTTTGTTTTTGTTTTGTTTTTTGTAATCCATGATCGAATTTTATGTAATCCATGATCGAATTTTTTGTAATCCATGATAGAATTTTTTGTAATCCATGATCGAATTTTTTGTAATCCATGATTGAATTTTTTGAAAATTTGTGATTTTTTTTTTTAATCCATGATCGAATTTTTTTTTGTAATCCTTGATCGAATTTTTAGACAATTTGCTATACTTTTTTTTTTTAATTTCTTTTTATCAATGATCGAATTTTTTGAAAAATGATGATTTTCCGAAAAGATGTGAAAATCGTGATAAGGTTTTGATTATCATGATGTATTAAACCCAATTTTTTATTTTTATTGTTTGAGTTTGCCATACTTTTTTTTTTTTTCCATGATCGAATTTTATGAAAAATGATGATTTTTCGAAAAGATGTGAAAATCGTGATAAGGTTTTGATTATCATGATGTATTAAACCCAATTTTTAATTTTTATTGTTTGAGTTTGCTGTACTTTTTTTTTTTCATGATCGAATTTTTTGAAAAATGATGATTTTCCAAAAAGATGTGAAAATTGTGACAAGGTTTTAATTATCATGAGGTATTAAACCGTATTTTAAATTTTTATTGTTAAAGTTTTTATTGAAAAAATTGTATGTTGATAGATTATTTATGTAAAAAAATGCATGTTATTATATTTTTAATGCCAAACTGTACTTTTTTTATCTGTTGTTAATGCATTTTTTAGTTGGAATGATTGATGTTAGCTGGCTCTGTGAAGAATTGTTTTTATTATTAATTTTTTAATGCAAAAAATATATGTTCTTGATATTTGAGTTGTAGTCATGTTTGGAGCTTTATTTTGTATTATATTATCCTGAATGTTTGTAATTGATATGTACGAAAATATTATTGTCAATAGAGGTATTTTGCAATAACAAGTAACAACAAATATGATTACATGAACTACCCCAACATATTATCACTACACATGGTGATTATTTTTCTTGTTGAACTGTCAGGTTAATTTTATACTTTTTACATCTTAAAACAGTTGAATCATGTCAAGATCTGCAGAAGACCCTGCATGGCAACATGGGGTCAGACTTGATCCCAACAAAAAAGACAAAATTATTTGTAATTGCTGTCAAAGAGTGATAAGTAGTGGGGTACATAGGTTCAAGCAACACTTGGCAGGGGTTAAGGGAGATGTTTCTGCATGCACTAGTATCCCTAGTAATGTAAAAAAACAGATGGCGGCAATTCTTAATGCTAACAAAGGTAAAAAATTGCCAAACATAGGATGAATGAGGAGATAGCTAGTTTATATACACCATCAAGCAGGAATACATAAGAGCAATATAATAATGACTTAGAAGAATAATATAATAATGAGTTGGACATGGCCACAAGATTGAGTTTACATGAACAATATTAGAGGGAACGTGGGTTTAGAATACCCGGTGGGTCTAGCTCAGACATGCATTGTGGTCCTAGCTCAAACATGCATGGCGGGCCTAGCTCGAGCATGTATGGCAGGCCCAGCTCAAATATGTATGGAGGGGTTGGTGGCAATATGTATCAAGGAGAATCAGATGTTGAAGGAATTATTTCTAGGTTACCTAGGAGTGTCAGTATTGCAGGTAATGGTCGTAAAGACCCATTTCTCTCAAAGCCTAAGTCACAACAGATGACCCTAAAAGGTATGGTACAAGAAACATGTTGAGGAGATATGTTGGTAATGGTTCTAAGATAAAGGGATTCCCTTTGATGCAGCTAATATCCCATAGTTTCCACCTATGGTCAGTGCAATCCAGAGAGTCGGGCCCGGGGTAAAACCTTCGACGGCATATGAGCTCAGTGGACCAATATTAGATGAAGAGGTGGATGAAGTTATAAAGTGGATTGAAGAATATAAACAAAGTTGGCCAAGGATAGGCATTACTCTCATAAGTGATGGTTGGTTGAATAAAGTTAGCAAAAAGGAGTTTTTAAACTTCTTGGCCTATTCCCCAAAAGGTACAGCTTTTTTGTCTAGCAAAGAAATATCAGGGACGAAGAAGGATGCAAACTTCTACGTACGACTATATGATCAGATAGTGGAGGAGGTGGGAGATAAGCATATAGTCTAGTTTATTACGGACAATGCGCGTGCATGTGTTTCTGCGGGCAGCAAGTTGATGGATAAGAGGAAGCATCTAGTATGGACCCTCGTGTGCTGCACACAGCATCGATCTTATGTTAGAGGAGATCGGTGAGATCAAAATTGTGAAGGACTCTAAAGGAAGCAAGGTTGGTGTTGAGATTTATATACAACCACTCTAA